CTGTGTGGCAATGTATAGGTTTGGAGCTGTCAATGCTAGGAAGTAGCTTCATCACCTCTGAACCAAAAGTGTTGTCCCAAGGGAATTGCACATCTCTGTATTTTCATAAAACCTGGGTGTTGTGAAATAAGTTTGGTTAAACATTTCTATGTCCCAGGAGTTTACATATTTTGAGCTTCGGTCTGCCTTTTTCTCTGGTATTTTTTTCATTGTTGCCTATTTTTGTGCTATTTATTGGCTTTTATTTGTAATTCACACTGGAGTTCCTCAGATTTGCAGTTTTTAGGGTCAGTTCAAGAGAAAGCAAAAAGGGTTTGTTAGTGAACCAGCATGCACCACTTTTGCAGACAGATAGGAACAACAGGAGCCTGCAGGGAAAGAAAACTCTTGTGTTTGCTCTTGTAGCAACTGAGCAATTTTCTCTGAGTTTGCATAGGTGTGTGGCCCAAGAGAAAATGTAAGCATCAAATATTGGGTGCAGGGTTTTTTTCCTAATGTAGCTGTAAAAAAAGTCTGGAATTCCTGCCGTTTTGTGCAAAGCTTAGAGAAATACCATGTGTCATGGGACATGCTAAGCCCCAGTGATGAACTGCAGGAAAATGTTGACATTTATTTCTTTATGTAAAGGGATTTGATGCATGGCTTTCTTCAGCTGCTTAGGAGAGCAGGCAGCTGTAAGAATAGGATCTGGTGTCTATGGCATTGGCCTTCTGTGTAACAAGGAAGAAATAATTCAGTTTTTTAATATATGTTATCATTGCTTTAATGGGAAGAACAACCCATTATCTCCTTTATTTATCCTCTCTATGTCATCATATGCTTTAATTCTCTGAAGACGAGCATATCAACATCTTCAGTTAGATTTCATTAAATTGGATGGGCTGTTGCTGCCAAATTGATAGAAGTAAATTATTCATTTCTAACTCAGCTAATTGATTTACAGAGATAGAAGCTCAGGCTACAATCTTTTGCTAGAATCTTGCTTTTATAATAAGCACCAGAAATTAAGGGAACAAGAGGAATATCTTATTTCTTTCTGTTGGAAGATAAGACAATTGGAAATTTCATATGAAGAACCCAGCAGTTGGCCACTGAACCTGACAGAGAAGGGGGAACTTCACTGAAGTATCATCCTGTGTAATTTCTCCTTATCCCTAGCATATTCCACATTGATATGCATTCCAGATCACAGAGTGGTATATAATGAAAAAAACCCAGCAACCTGCAATAGTATTTGTGTAGTGAGCTGCTCATAAAAAGGAGATAGTGCCAGCTGCCCTGTCCCAAATCCCCGTGGCATGGAAGATGAAAGGGATATCAGACAGGGAGAACAAAACAGAGCAAGAAATAGGGGAAAAACCACAGAGGGAAGAGTGAGAGTTTCCCAAATACATACATGGTGAATTTCACTGCAGAGGATTTGTGAGTTTTGTGACTCAGCTAGACAACAAAAGTATTTTAATAGAAGATACAGCCAAACAAAACTGCTTGTTTTTCCCTTCAGTGCCTTCTTCTTGAAGCCTTAAGCCTTTTGCTCCTGAGTTAGTATCCTTTTAATATGTGCTGAGAGTCATTAGCCCCATTACAAATGTAGTGGCTAGCATGCACCCTCATGCAAATGCTAAGGGGTAAATTAGCACCTGATTATTAAATCCATAAAATGGGAATTGCAAACTTTTTTCTCTTGTCAATCTGGGTTCCATCATCTATATTTGTTCCTTTTATAAGGAACATTTTTGTGCAGGAGTTGTAACAAAAATTGTCTCTTCACTATCAGATAATACTCTGGCATCAGAAGCTGCTCTTTCTTGAAAGCAGAGACTGTTTTCATGGTTTGTTCGTTTCCATGTGGCATAGATAAGACAATGGGACAAGCTAACTAAAGCCCTCCCTAGGATAGGCATCCCATGGAAAGCAGTGCCCCATGAGAAGATAAGAAATTCATGGAATCATCAAGGTTGGAGGAGACCTAAGATCATCAAGTCCAAACATTACCCTTTCACTCTGCTTTAACCCCTAAACCATATCTTCCAGCACCAGATCCAGACACCTTCCAGGGATGGTGACTCCACCTCCTCCCTGGGCAATATTCCAATGCCTGACCACCCTAACAAGAAAAAAACTTTTCCTGATATCCAATCTGAATCTCGCTGTCTCAGATCAGGAAGAGTAATAAAGATTGTGTAGAAATTAGCCTGTAACTGCTTAAATTGCTGGGTTTCCCCCTTGTTTTTGGGTGCAAACCTCACAGCAGGGAGGATGGTGGCTGTGGGGATGCTGGCTGGGGGCACACAGTATTCCCAGTTCATTGTCCCCGAGCCCCTGTGGTTGTCACAGGGGGAGGGAAGTGATGGATGGCTCCAGAGATGTGAGCAGGGAGGATGCCTCTCCCTTAGTGGAGCTGCATCAAGAGCATTCACTGGGAATTTGTCCAGGTGTGGAGGCAGCTCCTTCACAGCAAGAGTAATACTCCCTGCTGCTGCCCAGACCAGGGATATGGGAGATGCTCTGTCCTGGGGGTGTGCACTGAATTTGGGTCAGCAGGGAGCAGCAAGAGCAGTGCCAGCCCCGTGTCCAACCTGGAGCAGGCATACACAGCAATGAGCATTCTGGTTTCCATGGGAGCTGAGCACAGTGCTCTGATGCTGATTTGGGGACTAGGGACAGGACTGGGACCATCTCAGCCTCTTTGTGGGCTGGTGTAGAGACAAAGCTTGATCCCATGTCGCTGCACCCAAAGGCTGTGAGTGCTGTGATGCAGCAGCTCAGGACTCAGTGTCCCTGTCCCCTCCTCACAGGGTGCAGCACCCACCCCAAGGCTGTGGTGGAGGACTGCTGGTGGCACAAGGTGGCACATCACACCTCAGCACGTGTGCCTCACAGGGGATGGAAATACGGGGAGGGGGGGAAAAAACAACTAAAGGAATTCTTTCAGATGCCTGTGACCCAGGCAGTGGGACATTGTCAGGCAAGGACATTCTGCCCTCTATGACCCATAGCCAAAGCACTTGCAGCTGTCTTCCTCCTCCAGGAACACTTTGCTGATGTAGCAGGTGTAGACAAAGCCGAAGAGCTGGGAAAAGAGTGGGTAGGGAGAAGCTGGTTATCAGGGTGATGGACAACGACTGGCACAATGCTGGTGCAGGGACACTGCTGAGTGCTGCCAGCTGGATACCTTGGAGCATACTGGGGGAACCAAGAACATCCTAGGCCAGAGCCCATCTCCAGTGGGTTGGAGTGCTGGTTAGGGATGCAGCAAGGCTGGATGGTTTCACTGCATGGGAGGGACAAAGGTGGTGACCTTAAGGGGTAGGCTGGCACCCAGCTAGGATGATGCTGAGCCCCTGAGTTCCCTTTTAAGCTTTATTTCCTTGCAGCCTCCCAAGGCTCCCCACGAGCTTTGCATCGCATTCCCACCTCTCTGTGGGATGTGACAGCCACTGGGAAGGGGGAACCCAGTGTGTTACACTGAGAGCTCCCCAATTCCTGCAGTATCCAGCCCACAGCTTGCCAGGTTTTGGGACGGGCACAGCATGTGGGGTGCTGAGATGGGCTCTGCCTGTTCCTCTCTTCCCACCCCTGAGCCAACACAGCCCCTGGTGATCTAAATGGCCACTGATGCATGATGGCATAGTGGGGCATCTACAGCTGGACCACAGTGGCTCAGTCCACCCCAGTCCCATCATCCCCCTCCTCTCATTCACAATGTGGGATTAAGGATGAGGAAAAGATGCCCTTATCGCCAGGAGTGTCTGTGTGTCACTGCTCACCACATCCATGTACTGGTAGTCCAAGCAGCCACTGACCATGATGCCATGATGGTCCCTGGACTCCAGGTTGGAGTTCTTCACCAGTGTCACCAGGCAGCCTGGCTCATTCTCCATCCACCACACACGATGCACTGAGGTATTGAAGGCCATGATGAAGTCTCTGTCCTGGGAATTGTTGAAGCCAACATGGTGACCATAGCTGGAAAAGCCACTTACATTTAAAACCATACTCAAAAACACTGTTCATGATCAAACCACAAGGACTCTTGCTGTAGTGTACTTCTTGGGAACTTCTTTTATTCCTCTTCTCTTCTTCATCTCTTTTTCTCTTCTTCTTGAGGGGGGCTGGCTTGCCTAACACTGTGGGGTTGGAAGGTACTGGAGTAACATCACACAAATAGCCAGGTACAGCCTTTTTCTCTGCTTTCTCACTTGCAGATGAAGTCAGGGGAGATGGCTGCCAACATTGCCCGGGAGCTTGCGGAGCACACAAAAAACCACTTGTACGCTGGTGACATCGCATACTCTGTGTCTGCCATGGTCCAACTGGTGAATTTGCTTGACGTGCAGCTCCGAAACCTGACTCCAGGAGGGAAGGACAGTGCTGCACGCAGCTTAAATAAGGTAATAACAAAGGGGCTCGTGAAGGGACAGGAGGCTGATGTGAAGGTCAAATAAACACTTGTATGCATGAATATAAACAGAGGCACGCCGAAACATTCATTTGCACTGAAGATATGTTTATCAAAGACACATAAGAGGCCATCGTAGTTAGACTTAAGGTTTCAAGATGCGTTAGTATTAGAGGGCCTTTTTAGTGATAACGCATTACTTAGCCCAGAATCAGTGGGTGCCCCCTGTTTAAGAAGAATTGTTGCTCCTTTTGTCATTTCCAGAAGTGGCATTGCTGCATAGCACTAAAGGTGCTAGGGGTTGCCCGCTGTGGGAGGAAATACGAGCTGTGGAGTCTATAAGAATATATTTAAAGCGGAGGATTTCCTTAGTCAAAGGCCCTCTTCATCACTGAATCTCATGTAAACACATGGGATAGGACTTACATAGGATTCTAATGGTGAATTTTGCGGACCTGGTTGTCAAAACAAAGAGCAGCTGTGCCCTGTAACTATGAGCATATGGTTATATTGGTCACCCAGTTAAAATAAGACACAGAATTTTGTTCCCAGCTGCGGATCAGGCTCTGACAGTCCTGGAATTCATGTAAGCATTAACAGAACTTTGTCCCAAGGTTATATGGGGAATAAATGATCCCAACTAAACCTGAAATGTCTTCTGTGTCTTATGGAGATAAATGCTTTTCAGAGAAGTAACATTCATTGTCTTTTTTCTTGCAAGATATTGTTGTAGGCTGATGCTATTTTAAATGCAAAGGGCTTCGGGATTGTTTAAGATTTCAGCCGCATGGGAACTGAAGTCCTGCATCTCGTGTGTTTTGCATGTGCTGTGAATTGGGTTATCCTGATGCTTTTAATTAGTGCTGCTTCCAGCTATTTTGTAACAATGTAGATAATAATTATATTAACTGTTACATCAGCATAACATTATTTGTTATAATCATACCATGGTTCTTTGTCAAAATGATGGTGATGTCTGACAATATCAGGTAAAACCAGCAATTAATGTCACCTACTAATAAGTTTCATGGTTGTAGTCTGCTTGCTTTTCTAAATGTGCCCCAGCCACACCCAGCATTTTGTCACTTCATCTTTGCAAGCACAGATTTTTCATCCTTTTATATCCTACCTTACAATATTTATTTCAATTGCATGAAATGGAGTTGTATCACAGGGGCAGATAGGAGTTTCTGAGGGGAAGGGAAGACTGGACAAGGCAGAGCTCCTCAGCTCAGCTGCTACTTCTGGGGTCCCCATTGCAGGTTTCTTCCCCCTGCCATCAGCTTTGCACAAGCAACTCATAAAAATCAATTGCACTCTTCATTAAAATTCAGGACCACGTGGAGTCCTGCAAAACAGTGATGCGAGTCAGTGATCCAAATGACAGGCTCGGTAATTTACTTGCTGTCATTCCCCACTTAATTCTTTAGAAGAGCAACTGCTCGGTGTTCATTTAAGAATGCATGAATTCAACTTGAAAGCAGTATTGGGCAAACAAAAGGCAGCAGAGTTACTGCTCCATTTTCCCCTTCACTGATCAAGAGTATTAAAAAAAAAAAAAAAGGGAAAAAAGTAATTTGAAAAGAGTTTTGTTTAGTGCTGTTTAGTCAGAAAGAAGAAATACAGTAAGCACTAGCCATTAAATATTCTTTTAATCATTAAAGGAAATGTGCTGGGAATCCAAAAGTAATCACCTGTGCTGTTTTGTACTGGTAGGGTTTTTTTACAGGCTGATGTACAGTGAATTGAAATAAACTGGCATAATCAGAATTTTTAAAAGCCGTCATCTTTCAGGAACCACTTTCCTGTCACTGAAAGCTTTATGCTTTCCACTGGATCAGGCTTAATTAAGGTAATAATTGTTCCATTGCAGGCTGGGAAGACCCCCAATTGCATACCTCTGTAATTTTGAGCAAGGCTTTTTTTGATCTCCATTTTTTTCTGTAAAGTCTTTGTACTGGACAAATTTACCCAGAGGAAGATTTCTACTGTTACAAATTGATGAATTAGAAATTGAAATTAGGCATTGCATGATACCTGGGCGTATTTTGTTTATTTCAGAGCCTCAAAACTCTTGGGAACAAATTTGGCTTTCAGCTGTACTAATGGGATTGCACTGCTGTTGCCTTGAATCTCTGTTGATGTGCAATTTCCAACCAGACACATCAGCAAAAACAAACCCAGCCAAAGCCAGTGGCTCTGAATAGCCTGAATTTGGGAAGTTTCTTTGCAGTGATGCAGAGCTCACCAATTCTAGCTCACTGCTGTAGACTACCTGCAAAGTCCTGTGGAGGTAAAGAAATGCCTGTTTGAATTTCATGACAAAAAAAGTGCAGTTATCAGACAAGAGGCATGAAAGTGCATCTAGAAGTACAGTCCTACACGTGGCTCCTATGGAAAAGGTGGGATTCTTTGTGGAAAAGCTATTCAGCATATAAAGGATTTAGGCCCAGGAGTTAGGAAAAACAGCACAACTTGGCATGAAAAGAATGGGAAATACATTCCTGGAGAAGTAGCTTAATCCAAAGGGGACAGAATTGCCTCAAATGAAAATATTACTTTGAATTCCCATTATACAAGCTCACAGCAATGAAGCTGAAGCATCATAGGTTTTGTCTTGAGTGAGAGGCCTGAGCAAGCCTGTCAGGATACGTATATGCAGGTCCATCCTGTATCAGGGTGAAGTCCTGCACACATCTTGCTCCCTGGAATTGGTCCTGATCATCTGAAGCCTGGTTATATTTCACTGTGCCATCAGCACTGTCTGACTGCAGAGCCCACACTCCTCTTATGCAAATAACAATCAGCCTCACCCTTTTCAGCCTTGTTTGACGTGGAAATGTCATGCTCAATCTCCAAGCTGTAAGGAAAACATCATCTCTTGAGTATCTCTACTAGACTTCAGTGTCTCCTACCATCTAACAGATGCTCTTGCGAAGTTACCAGTCTGTGCTTTACTTCACCGAAAAAGGACTAACCCATATTTTTGGAGCCTGTCCTTCCGGTCTTCTACTGCTGTCTAACTCACACTCACTCCTTTGGTTTGGTTGTTTTTCAGCAGCTGTTTAAGAGAGAAATTAGGGGTTTTTCATAGGCGTTTTCTTCAATTTTTTCCCTTGTTCTGTCACTAACTTGTTTTTTCTATTCCACCTTTAATCTGCTATCTTTATGGACTCAGCTTCAGAAAAGGGAGCGCTCTTGCAGGGCCTATGTCCAGGTATTTCTTGTGTTTTTAATACACATGTCCAGTTGTTTGACTGAATGACTGTGAAATGAGTCTTGTCTCTGTGAATAATCTGATTATTACCACCTTTGTGGCAGCAAGTTCTAAGGTTAAGGTTACAGGATAATAATGTCATTTTTCATCTTACCCACCTGTCCCATTGCTCTTAGACTTGACAAAAATTTGGGACAAAATCGCTGACCCAGAAAGTTGGAAAAAACACAGGAGAGATCTGACAAGACTCATCCAGCCATCAGAATATAGATGTGTGCAAGTAAAAAATGCAAAACTGCTGCTCACGGAGATGTCTCCAGACCAGCTGGATTTTGCTCACAGCATGTCACTCATGTAACTACCACCTGCATTTCCTTAGTTTTCTTTCTTCCCCTCTTACTCTTTAAAATTTAGGAACAATTCAAAATGGCAATGCTCGGCATGAGGGAAGAGGTAGGACCATAATGAAATGCAGAGTGTCTCACAGAGGGATGCAGGAAGGAGACAGTGCTGGAAAATAAGTATAGGATTATGAACATAACGTCCCATGAAGTTCACCCAGGTCTGGCCTGACTTTTGTAGGCTTACACTGTGTTTTATGTGAACAAAGTCAAGCCCCAGCATTCTGGAAAGACCTGCTTGTAGGCTTTTTCATAGTGGGACCTCACGTTATCTTATTACTCCTGTCACCTTGCCTTATAGCATTTGCTCCATTTTATATAAACCTGTTTGTATACTATGGGTTAGTTAATTCTGCTTAAAGAAATGTGAATGTTGTACGTTCTAATTTCTGTCTTGTGCTTGTAAATGTTGATATTGTACTGGTGGGTGTTGATCATTATTTATATGTGTATGTGTAGTATGCAGAGGTGTAAAAATGAACCCTATGGTTTTGGAGGGGGCTGTCTATATCTGAACTTTTCTGCGAAATTCAACTTTCTACACTTCCTGACTTTATTCTGTGGGCACGTATGTCATTTAGTGTGGGGGATTATATGGTCTAGATTTCTAGAACGTTAGAAATAAAACAGTACCCCTCTGTGCTGGCAGGCTGTTTGTATTCCCTTTGGAAAATGTCATGAGATAAAGTCACCTTTTCCCTTCCATGTACATTAATGGATAAAGATCAGTTATGGACACCCTTGTCTGGAGTCACTTTTCATAAGATCCCAGAGAAAGCAGCTAGCAAGCATTTGAAAGAAATTAGGAATGTTTACAGTGCAACGCTCACTCCCAAGTGAGTCCCTCACTACCTTGACTACTGGTACCAATGGAAACGTGGTGAGGTGGGTTTGACCACGGACTACACAATCCTTTTGGGGATCTTGGATTCTACCTGACCCACAGTTGTCCTTTCCACTAGCTGCACAAGCATACTCTACAGAGTTGGTGCATGCTCCTGGTCATTTTGTCTTTTTTCAAACAGTAGCGATTGGTGAGATTAATATATTCTACGGAAAGCTTGGCCTGCTGAATACTCTGCACAAACTTCAGCTTACCCTTAATTTCAAGGACTCCTTCCCTCTCACTTGGAAAGGCTGCTTGTGTGTTTAAACATTAATCATGCGCTCGCTTCTTTAGTAGACGAAAACTGATGAAAGCTCATTGCTTGAGCTGTTTAGTATAAATATGGACAAATCTGGTACCTATATTGAAGAGGACAGCAGTGTAAAAGAGGGCGTGAAGAATGAATTAGATGACCTAATTGAACCTTTCCAGCTCTGCTTTTTACTATATGGAGGTAAAGTAATGTATCTGGACATATTTTCATACAGTATGCCTCCATTTAGAAAATTGTGTAGCTAAAGTCATCAAAAAAATCTTGTGAAGGAGAGCTTGTCTGTAATAGCAATTACATGTGACTGCAGATATTCCTGTTACAGGCTACTTATCCTTTACCATGCAATGAAATGTCTGGGCCAGCTAAGGAAATTTAGCAGAGATTTTTTGCAACAAATCTTAAACGGTGAAACCCTGAACTTTATACAGCCAATGGAAGATGGGAAGTCACTGGGACATATGCCACTGATGGCAGAGGAATAGGGTGTTCAACTTTGCTGACATGATCTTCTTGTGCTGATCCCATTATTGTGAAGAGCATCCATGACTGAATTCAGCTTACAGGGCTGGAAGTGTAGCTTCAGGAAGTGTACCTAGTTCTGTGCTCCCTAGACAATGGAAAGTGTGGTACAAGGTTTACATGACAGATGTCCAGGAATTGTAAATATCTAAAGTACTATTAAGAAAAGGTGGATTTTGGGGGGTGGGGGTGACTTGAAAGGATAATAATTGCTAAAATCAATCCTACTGTTTTCGTTGGGCTGACAAATTTAGGTAGCCATGGCAGAGCCCCTGTAGCAATTGGGCTAGTGTTCTTAAACCCAAAATAAAAGACTATAAATAAATATGCAAAGTAGATTGAGAAAAATTGTGAGTTATTCAAATATGAGACCAAGAATGCATTATCAGGTAATAATCTTATTTCTTTGAGTACATTTAAAACAAATATTGATTTAACTTGTTCAGTTTCACCGTATTGGTTGAGTTAAAAGCTTGGGGATTTTATTTACTGGAGATGGAGGTTACAAATGCTGCTTCTTTAGTTTCAAGGGTTGTAAATTATCTTTTTTTTTTTTGTCTCAAAAATCTTAACAAGAACCAACCTGGCAAGAGATATGATCAATATATCTTAATATGATGACCATACAGTTGCTGAAAGATTTTTCAATCATGGTTATACTTAAGAAACTGGCACATGGGCTTTAATTTGTGATACTAATTAATGGGCAACTTAGGCTGAGCTGGCCCAGATGGATATCCAAGATACCAGAGTGGCCTTGGAAAGATGCTCCATTAGCTAAGAGTGTGGCTTTTGGAAGAGCACCTTTCCGCATTGCACTGTTTTTGCACTCTATTTTGGGAAATGGGTTGGAAAAGTCATCCTGTGGGAGAATGAGTCACAATGGGTGACACATTTGATTAGCACAGCTTAGTTTGGTGACTGGTGTATGATGTAAACTGGTATGAATTTTCTGTAATTTTTTCAGAATTTATATTTGTTCATTTTCCAAAGGTGTTTCTCCTTAAACTGAAGCACTGAAGCTGTGGAAAACATAAATTGTTTGATTTTTTCAGGTTATGAAACTGGGTTTGGTGTCACTATTTCTCAGCATCCCAACTTAAAATGTCATGGGTGCAATTCTCCTGGCCTCTAGGAATGGAGATGGGGCAGTAAACCGAAAGAAAAAAAGGCTGAGTACTCATATAATGCAATAAATGAGGCCATATTATTGTGGAAAACTTACACATAGGGCAAAAAAAAATAGAGACTTTTGCTGTAAGATTTAGTAGCTGGAAACACAGACTCAAATAAAAGCTCGTACCACACCTCTGCTTGCAGTTTTTTTATGGCTTACGTGTACCTGATTGAAAAATCTGAGCTCATGTCCTTGCTTCACTTGGATTTGTGTGCTGCAGCTCTGGGGCATCATGAGACCAGTGAATTTCCCTGTGGTACTTGCCTCCCTGCATGCTACATTTGGGATGAGGATCTTGGAAGACAAAAGCTTGACAGAGTTCCCATTCTTTTAGGTTTTTTATTTTACAAACTCAGTGGCTGCGAAGTTGGAGGCTGGTGAATACAGTAGATAGCATGAGTTGCTGCTTCGTGGAAAGGGTGGAAGGAGGCAGCAGAGAGATGCTGTTGCAGCATTTTCCTTGTCTAATGGTGTTTGCTGCTCTGGTTCCTGCCATCCTCTGGGCTGTTCTGGTTACAAATCAGCTTGCCCTGGGCTGGTCTGTATAGCAAGTGGTGAGGATTATGGAGGAGGTGTCACCTGTGCCATGATCATCATAAGAGCTTCTGATTTGCAGATGTCATCAGATCCACTCATGAAACCTGGCAAGCTCCAGGTAGCAGACAGTGGTGGGTGGCTACATCAGAGTTGTCTTTCTGGTTCTCTTGGATGTTTTATGAACACTTCATGCTTGAAACACGAGCTGTTTGAATTGCTTTACTAAGCAAAAATGAAAGGCTTTCCTCAGAGGATTCATGGCCTTAAGTTTAGAGCTGAGTAGAAGAGACTATTTCCTTTGCTAACCTAGGAGTTCTCAGCACATAAAAGGCGCACCTGGGATTTAGCCAGTACTATTTAAAGTGGATTAATTCTGTTTGTCCCATTTCTCTCTTGATTGCATGACTGGTCCCAACTTCCATGAAGACTAAATGAAAAAAAACTTGTAGCTCTGAGAGGGTGCACAAATTGAATTATGTTGTATTTGTTTGTGTTCTTGTTGTGCCTCTGACTCTAACCTCCATTTATATAAAAAGGGGCAAATTAATGAGGATTTTCAAGTTCCTTGTTTGGTCACTTAATTGGCTGTATGACAAAGAGCTCTGCAGTGTGTGTCAAACAACTTCCAGAGTCCTCTGATGATTTGTGCATTGCCTGACTCCTGATGCTATTCTGCACAGCCTGTCAGGCAAGGTATCGTTGTTAAAGTGGCTGGAATAAATTGGCTAGCAGTGTGCACACAATACTGTATGTTAAATATAGCTGCAGGGAGTACTTTTAGCATCTTTTTCAAGAGATGAGATGTTTGCCTATCAGCATCAAAGTGCCTAAAACTTTCATTTAATATAATTAAAAGGACATCTGAAAGAAGTGCGACTCGCAGCGTGGTTCTGTGGTTTGGTAGTCCTTTGTTAAAACTCTGTGAATTTAATACACTTCACAGCTTGAGAAACCTTCAATTGATTTGTGTCAGCAAGAGTGAAACTAGAAATCCTCACCCCATGTGTTTCTGCCACGGTGAGTCCATTGTTAGGGGAGAGAAGGATCAAAGCAGCAGCCTTGGGTTTGTCAGCAGACTCCAGAATTCTTCACATAAATGTTAAAAGAGAAGGTGACTGCATATTCCTCCACCTACCACTGAGCTACACCTATGGTTGTGTGCCCACATGCAACATAGCAAAACTGAGAAAAGCATCTAGTGCTTTC